TTTTACAATAGGGTTATTGTATGGAAGGACTATCTGATGCTTTTCATCATATGTAAGTGATGATGCTTCTAACCTTCCCCCCACGCAAATTATCTTGTGTTCATCTAAAAATGGCATCAGTCCAGCAAGTGTACTTGCAGGTTTTACTGTTTGGTTGCGTTCTAACTGAATTAATTCTTCTTTTAGTTCTGACTGTTGTATGTACTTCACTATATGCCTGAGTGACAGCTCCAGTTCCATAGGGCTTAGAGCCATAGTGATATTGCTTAAATTGGTTCGCCTTGCCCGATTTACAAATCGCAGCATATATCCCACCGTATGTAGTAGAGTTCTAAATGAATTCCTGTGATTGATTCTATCGATCCAATGGATATCGTAATCAGTTGAGATTAAGGCCACTTCCCTTGTCGTTTGTTTCCATTCAGGATTCACCGGATCAATACAGAGAGTTTTATTGAATTCGCCAGGCCAGTTGCTTTCGGAACCATGAAGAAAGAGTGGACCGTATAACCACAAGTTATTTTCGAGTAATTGAGCTGGCTTGATACCCCGTGATAATGAGTCAGCTGGTTTATCCTTAGATCTTACGTGACGCCATTGATTAGGCAAGCTAATTTCTTGAATTGCATTGATTCTATTTGCTATGAACTGTTGATGCCTTGCTGATGAAGAGTTGATCCAGAAGAGAACGATTTCTGAATCAGTCCAATAATATGTTGCTACATCATGATTTATATTGTTCTTAACCTTTTTCATCAATGTCGCTCCTAATAGAGCTGAACACAGTTCTAACCTTGGAGTCGTTTGTTTTTTGAGTGGAGCAACACGAGACTTGGAACACAACAATCGATTTATTAGTCGACCATCCATTAGTTTCGCTCGAACGTAAACTGCGGCTCCGTATGCCTTTTGTGAAGCATCACAAAATACGTGCAATTGTATTGATTCAAGTGCTGGCATCTGTTTTCCGAATATATGACGATCTATTTTAAATTGATCTAGTACTTGTAGATAGTCATAAAAGGTAGTCCACCTAGTGTATATTTCGGCTGGTACTGCTTCGTCCCATGTTAATTGTAGTTGCCATAGGTCCTGAATTAGTATTTTTGCTGTTACGAGTACTGGACCTAGTAGTCCCAATGGGTCGAAAATTTTGGTTAGGTTCGAAGTAATGGTTCTTTTAGTAATGATTTTTAATGGATCTAGTTTTAATTTTATGCGAAATTGATCTTCTTTTGGTTGCCAAGTCAATCCTAATGTTTTGATTGATGTTGCGTCGTCACTTTGAAAGTCCAAATCAACTTCTTGATCTTCTTTTGCAATATTTTGAAGAAGTGACGGATGGTTGGCACACCATTTACGTAGCTTGAATCCTGCTGATTCCAACAAACCTTTTAACTGAGTTTGTATATCTTTGGCAGTTTGGAGACTATTTGATCCACTTAGGCAATCATCTACGTAGAAGTCATTACTTAGTGCTGCTGCACCTAGTGGATATTTTTGCAACTTAGATTTCGCCAACTGTTGTAAGCATTTAGTAGCCAGATATGGGGCTGATCGTGTTCCATAGGTGACTGTTTTTAATCGATAAAATTGTAAGGGTTCGTTATTATTGCTTCTCCAGACTATTAATTGATATGTTTTATCTTCGGGCTGAATAATGATTTGTCTGTACATTTTTTGAATGTCAGAACAAAAGACAAATCTTGGGCACCTGAATCGAAGTAAAATCGCAAACAATTCCTCTTGAATTGTAGGGCCAGTAAACATTGTATCATTTAACGATAGTCCACTACTCGTCTTGCACGATGCATCAAACACCTCTCTTAATTTCGTGGTGCTGCTATCGGGCCGTAAAACGCCATGATGTGGGATGACATAATGAGGATTAACTTGGTTGATGTCAACCCTTTCCATGTGTCCGAGATCAGCATATTCATTCATGAACTGTACATACTGTGTTTTGAGTATTACATCCTTATCGAGTCTTCTTTCCAACGCTAAAAACCTGTTAATGGCAATGTGTTTTGACTCACCAAGCAACGATGGATCTTGCTTGAAGGGTAATCTGACACTGAATCGACCGTCTTGATTCCTTTTCATATAAGTTGCAAAATGAGACTCGCACAACTCTTCGGAAGGAGACAGAATTTTGTTTGCCTTTTCTGGTTCATCTAGTTGCCAGAACCGCTCGATAACCTTCATCGTATCTTGCTCATCTTCAGAGCATATTCCACAAACTTGTGGTGAAATAATTGAATTTTGGTTAGATATTTTTCCCACCACAAGCCACCCAAGCAATGTGTTCTGTAGGATGGGGAGACCTCTGCCAAGGTTTATTTGGCCGATGGACAATAGTTGATGAGAAAACTCAGCTCCAAGTAGGAGATCGATTTTGTTTGGGGTATTGAACGACGGATCTGCCAGATTGATGTTCTGTGGTATTTTCCAGCTTGAGCTTTCAATATGAATGCTCGGCTGATCACACACAATCTTAGGTAATACATAAGCCTCTATTCGGCTGCTAAATCCGTTAATTCTGGACGAGAAAGCTAAATTGATTCGTTGTTGCGCATCTTGTTTTTTTTGCCCCACACCTTCTATACATGCTGAGGTCTTTTTCGGGTTTTCACCTAACTTCTTAATTATTTGATCGGTTATCAGGTTGACTTGGGAGCCGGAATCCAATAATGCTCTGCACTCAATTTCTCTTCCATTGTTGCCTTTAACGACAACACGTGCAGTTCCTAATACCACATAATTTTTTTGGATGTTGAGATTGTTGGAGAACAGAGAAGCAGGATTTTTTGATAATGATGCCTTCTTAATCATGGATGCTTCAAGTGTGCCTTCTAAATGCAGCAGGGTGTTGTGTTTCTTGCTGCATTTTAAGCAACTGCCTGATGTGCAGTCTTTTGTGAAGTGACCATTTTTTAGACAATTGAAACATCGTTGCAATGATTTTATGAGATGTAGCCTCTTAGCTGGGGTGTCATCCAGGAACTGCTTGCATAGATGAATTGGATGATTATCTCTCTTGCATATTGGACATTTAACTGGTGCAGTGTTAGTTGTAGCCACTGTCTTAACCCATTTTTTAATTGATGCGCTATTATTTATTGTTTCTAGCGATTGGAACCTTTGTTCAATAAATTGAAATAGTTCCTTCATAGTGATCAGCTCTCGATTGTTTGATAATGACTGCTCAAATGCTGTTTGTGTGATCTTGTCTAATTTCTTCAACGTCATATGAACAATTATGACGTCCCAATGTTCGACTGGAATGTTCTGCGCCTTAAGTCCCAATAAACACTCTTGTGAAATGTCATGCAATGTTTTAAGGCCAGAAGCGGTTTCAGTTGTCATTGCTGGTAATGCGAATAATTTGTTTAACAATGCGGTAACTAATAATCTACCATTATTGTATCTAGCCTTCAGAATCTCCCATGCGGTAATGTAGTTCTCAGCTGATGCTGGCAAATGCTTTATCAGGTTTTTGGGCTCACCAATCAAGTTAGTTGTTAAGTAGAACATCTTTTGGATAGGTTTGAATGGTTGTTCGTCTATAAGTTGTGTAAACAGGTCTCGAAACTCTACCCACTTCAGCTGGTTTCCGTCAAATATTGGAATTGTTAACTGTGGTAATTTTACTGCCTGAATTGTTGGATTGTGCTGGTAGTGAGAATTGGATGATTTTAGCTTGAGTTTCAAACAAATCTCCATGTCTTGGAGTTTTTGACTAATTTCATAATACAATTCCCAGGAGTACCCTTCAATGAATTCTTCTGATGTAGAATTCCATATTTTTTCATTGTTGTTATCGAATGCTTTGTGATAACCTTCTATCAAAGCAAGCTTGCAAGAATAAAAAACTTCATTTTGAGATTCTTGGCTTGCCATTTCAATTTCTTGACTGGATCTGTCAATGACATTTATGAGTGCTCGTTGATTACGCAACACTCTTGATAATTCTTCATTTTGTTGAAGCTGCATTGGATTTTGATTGTGTTGCCTTGGCGGCTTTTCCTGAGCATTTTCTACCTCTTGCATTTCCATTAATGCCTTGTTAAAAATACCCAAGTATTTGTTTGTCAATTCAGTCATTTTTTCATAGTAGCCCGTGGTGAAATACTCGTCTTCTGTATCTTCAGCCATAGCTTTACAAGATAATAACGTGTTGTGGTTCTTCTCTAACCTTGACCATTGTTCAGTTAACCGTAGAATTCTATCCTGATAATAGCGATTCGTCTTCCTTGAGGCTGGATCCTTCTTGAAGTTGCTGATTATCCTCTCGATCTCAGCTCCTATAGCTTGTTGTTGATCAATAAGTGTGTTGAAATGCTCCATGATAATACCGTTCCTATTTATTGTCCTTATAGGAATATCACGTCGGGGTCACCAAAATATGTTGAGAATGCTTTTATTCTCAAGTTTCTATCAATTTGTATTTGTATACCGGAATTCCACCAAGCACATGTGACTTGTTGGACGGTATATTTGTATACTTTTTATATTCTTGAAGATACCACCGAGCACATAAACCCGTTGGTAATTTTATGAAAAGAAGATAAGTTCTATTCAAATTTGTATCATCGAATACGCTTTATTAAAAGAATTGATTTATTTATATACATTTTTCTTATAATAATTACTTACTAAAACTTATTACGTACAATAATTTACTGACCCAATTTAAAACAATAATTAATATCAAGCAAAAAATATTACTTATAATGACACATAAAATATTCAGCAAAACAATAAATAATTAATAGCAAGCAAATTACATAAAATATTTAGCAAGCAAATCACATAAAATATTTAGCAAACAATGAACAATAAATTATTTAAAATGTGTTCTTGCCCTAGTTATAAAATAAACACTAATCAGCAAAAATATAACCTATTAATATTTTACGATTACGTTAAATGCATTTTATCATGGGTCAGCAAAAGACAAAATAAATGTAATACTTAACAGTAGTTGATGGTAATATGATAGAAGTAGGTAATAATATTTATATAGAATTATATTAAGAATGTGTAATTTATTGTGTAAATATTTGTGTGATAGTAAGGGTGAGAAATATAAAAAAATTTTAATATTCATAATGAGAACAATTGTTGTAGCTTTTAAGAATAACAATTTTTAACAATTTTAATAGTATTGTGTAGGAGATGAAATATTTCTTAAATATTTTAAATATAAATTGATGAAATTCTTAATAGAAATGATTCAACTCCATAACAAGCATAATTGCTATAGATATTTAATTTAATTTCAATTTTATATTTTGAGTTCCCAATCTTTACATATATATGTGTTGATGTATAATGTATGATTAATTAATTTATATAATATATGGAAGGTTTTATTGTTTTTACTTTGTTAATGAAATATTAATTTCTGGAATATATAAACAGTAAAGTTTTTTCAATAAATGAGGTAAGACAAATATAAATATATACATACGTGAGATTTTTGATAGCTTTGTATGAGATAATAAGATATGTATTTGATTTTTAATTTTTCAATAGAGTTGATTTCTAGCTATGTATAGTTTTTTAGTAAATAATCTCATTTAAAAGTTTTTCATATAATCGATACTGTTGTGTTGATAAACAATCTAGAATTAATAACAATTTTTTAATTTTTTAATTTTTTAATTTTTAATCTTTTAATTATTAAATTTATTTAGGTATAAATTAGGTTTTTAGGTAGAATATATTTTTTGTATGTTTTAGTATGATCTTTTTAGGTAATTATAATAATCCACACTGTAATTTTTCTATTTAGTACACATAATTTGGATACACAACTGTGTACATAGGATGGTTTTACACTGTTTTTGTTTACAAGCAAGTTATTTATATGTTTACCACTAAAAGTTATTTTAGATATTTAATCTTTTTATTTCTTTGTCTTTTGAGGATTAATATGACTCGCACACTTTAGGCAATAATTTAGAATATAACGAAGATAATATGTAGTTTTAATTTTTAATCTGCTTATTTCCAATTTTTGAATAATTTGCGGCGTAGCTAAAAAGTTTTTGGTTTTACAAATATTTTGAGGTAAACAATGTTTTAGGTATCCAACGATAAATGTACAGCAAGGTATGAAAAATGGTTTGAAGGATGGATGTAATTTTATTACCTGCATAGCCTATTATATTTTTGACATTTGGTTTGTAGTAGTAGTGAATTGACACATGTGTTTAGCTGGTTTAGGCGGTGAAATAGTCAATCATTAATTCTTTTGTTTTTGAATAATGTGTAAATGAATTGTGATTTTAAAGTGTAATAATTTAATAATAAATATTAGGTGTATATGTTTAATTATGTTTGAAGATATAATAAATATAGAACCGAGTTTGAAACATTGGTTTTTGTTGCGAACAATTGTGAAATGACAGACATATGAGATTTAGTCAAGTGTTAGTTGTTATGTGCGCGTTTTTGTTTTTTGGTATTTTATATGTTTTTGTTTGAAATTAATAAATTAAAATAGACAATATAATCAGAATATTTTTGTGAGATAATATATTTAATATTAGAAAATGTATATAATAGTAGAGATAAAGTGTTTTTTGAATTTTTAAAGTGTTTTAAATAATTTTTGGAATGTTTGTAATTAATTTGAATATAATGCTATATTAAAATTCTAGTAATAAATGATAGTTTTGTGATAATGTTTGTAAATAAGTAAAAAGGTAATATAAGATTGTAACATCTAATTTTAATAATAATATTTGGTTAGAAAATTAGATGTAGAGGGTATGAAATATTTTTCACATTTTATTGAAACTTAATTAGGGTAATAGTTAAATGAATATTGGGTATAGAATTTTTTAGGTAATTTTAAATTGTTATTGTTAGAGTTTGAGATTTATGAAAAATGTTGAAATATAGGATATGAAATATTTTAAATCATATATATTAATTTGTGGAGATTTATATACTATAATTATTATATTTCGGATAGTAATAGTATAAGTTTTATAAGTATATAAAATTTTTAATTTAAAGAAATAAATAGTTGGTATGATAGAATAAGTAAAGGGTATATTATATATGGTGAATATATTGTAGATATACATAAAACATATACTTATATAATATAAGTTAGGAAATGTTTGATGATTATAAGTTTTTTAAATTTATTTTTTTAAATTTATTTTTAATTTTAAAGTTAAAATTTTTAATTTTTGATTTGAATATTTTTTGGATTTTTTTGACTTTTTACGTTTTATTTTTTGACATATATTGACGTTTGTTTTTCATGACGTATGTCATATCCACTCTGATGAGTCTGGTTGGTAACCAGACGAAACGCGTTAGTGGGAACCACACATGGATGGATACAATATTTTGGATCAGGTTTTTCGATCTCATAAGACACATTATAACCAGTATATTGTGGCAATGAGTTCATAAAACTTTCAATAGTTTTGGATGGCATGAATAAGAGCATATCTCGTATATCTGTTCTAAATGGTACATTAATGTTTATATTTGAATGTGTTCTTTCTATTTCTCGTATTACTTTATTTCTTAGTATTGAAACTTGTTCTCTTTAATTCTAATGTATTTTAATTCAAATTGAGAATAATTTATGAGTTCCTGTGCTTTTCGTTCTAAAATATTTTTATTATCCTCCTTCAAATCATATGTAGATATAACACTTGACATATCTTTTATATATAATTTTTCTTGTTTATTCTTATGTATAAGAATTTCATCATTTAAGTTTAGAGTAATTCTAGCTTTTTTTAAGAGATTAAAACCTATTAAACTGATTCTAGTCCTTCTAATTCGTAAAAAATTTCTTTAATTCCAAATATAATTACTTCTGAGTAATGAGTTATTATACTATAACCATTCACTGTCCTTACTCTTTTATTTATTGATAATTTATATCTATTTGTTAAAATGTTAGGTGAGCAGTAACAACTAGTAGCTCCCGTGTCTATTAACATTCTAAACCTTCGACCGGTTTGGTCGCTTGTTCTGTATATGTGTGGTAAGGGAAGCCTTTGCCTAAAAAAGCAGTTTCATTCAAATTGTTGATTCTTTGTGCTTTCTGTCGTGGCCGTCCACTACTTTGAGTACTTTCTATTGGTCTTTTTTTTTGTGCCATAAAATGATTATTATGTCTAAATTGTTGTTGAATAGAATAATTCCTATTATATCTGTGTTCATTAAAATTTTGGAAATTATTATTATTATTGAAATGTTGTGGTCTAGCT